TGCAGTGGAATTAAAAAGCACCACATCTACCTTCCAAAATCACCTATACACTAAGGGTACCTGAACAACTCTAAAATAATCAAATCATAACATTATGACGTTAGGATTTAATGTAGGACTGTTTGTAATAGAACTATTTTGTACAGTGGATCTATAATACAATTTAATAATATAATAGTAGTTAATATGATGGGTACTTCATATAAAAAATACCTAGGTTAATTAGTTTGACTTTATTACCTTTGATCCTTCCTTATCCTTAAACCTTTTCTCTCTTCTTTCAGACTTGTCAGCAGTGAACGAGAGCAGCCCTCTGACTGTCGGAGGAACCAACGGACAGTCAGCCCCCCCGACGGGCTCTCAGATAACCTGAGAACCAACAGAAACCACATGGAGCAGGAGCATAGCCTAAAGCTACTAACAGATCAAACACGCACACCGCTACACACTGCCGAGGAACTTTAGCTTCTTAGAGTTTCAATAAGAGCTTTGGACAGAAAAAACACTATGTATATTTGAGTGTACATGCTGAGATGTATAGGAATTGCAAAATGAAATGCTTGTAGTGTCTTCAGGGAGGGTTTGTGACTCCTGACAGTAGGGATGAATCTGCTGTTATTTCAGGAACTCTGTTATGGAAATGTTTTCTCATGAAGAATGTATAATATATATATATATAATATAAAAGCCTGGAAGGAACACTTACCTGCTTTTGGACCAGAGTTGGTTCTGGATGAAAAGGACGTTGTTTCTAATGTTTAAAGGTTGATGTTGTCACTATTCTTGAAATGGGGTGGGCTTGACACAGGAATACGTACAATGGACTTGTATTTCCTGATCCAGCATCTGTGGTACTCGGATATGGGAACCTAAAAGAGGCCTCAGAAGAACCTCAAGGATCACAAAGTTACAAGAGGGCTGAGAACCAAAAAGCTGCCTTATAGAAGAAAAAGCGCCTCTGTGTGAATGTATATTTGAACCACGGGAGGACACTTGATTTCCAAATAAAAGACTGACTTCATACACTGTCCTGCTGCTTTTAAACCCTCACTTCAATGAAGGATTCTCCAAGTTATGAAACGCCTTCTGGGAATCGTTCCTTGCCTGGATTATGAAAACAAATGTGAATGAACAATACAGATTTATATTTTTGAGAGAAATTGTGCAAATATTTAATCTGCAGAAAATTGAACTTGTTTGAATTTATCTGTGAACTACGACCACACTTTCATGGTTAATAGTTGACCTTTAAAAAATGTGTCATAATTAAAAAATACTAATAACTGAAGGTTTGTGCTTATTCTGTCGGAAATATGGGAAAAAAAATATGAACGATTATTTTAACAGATTTCACATCGGTAGACGATGCTCATAGTTGCCACTGTTGTGTTTTGTTGAAAATGTCATCCACAAAAGTTTGTTTAAGAGATGTGACTTTATGACTGAGCAAAGTCAAAATAACATTTAAAAAGAAGGTAATGCGAGTTTTATGAGACAACTGCTGTCTGTGTTTGCTATTTCAAATCAGCAATGAAAAGCATTAAACTCTGCATTTCAGCTTGTAGTCAATGACATTAAAACCTCTTAAGCCCCACGGACCCGGTTCCGGGGACGAAATCGCGTCTTTTGCAGGAAACAACGTCTAAGGAACCTTAATATTTAATAAACTATGAATATTTGATATCCATATAACGGGAAAAAACTCATTTAACTGATCTTTTTCATTTAAAAAACAAAAACAAACACACAATGCTAACAGTGAGCCTCTGAATTAGCCCCGAGCAAAAAATGCTAACCTATTACTGCACCGAAAATCACTCCTAGCTCCCTTATTACTTATCCTAGCTGCACATCCAACACATCGTTTATGATCGTAAAGACACAGAATCTAACGGTGCCCACCTCAACACTGAACGATACAAATTTGCAACGTTATCAACAAAAACGTACATCAAAACATGTGGCGCTAGGTAGCCTACAACGCTAACATGGCTTACCTTGGTTTTGTCTGCTACCTAGCGCCACATGTTTTGATGTACGTTTTTGTTGATAACGTTGCAAATTTGTATCGTTCANCAAATTTCAAGCTGTCCTACACTCTAGCTGTGACATCACGCACTCTAGTTAATGTTAAAATCTGAAGAAGAAGGCCTCTATACCAAGGTCTGAACAATGTTTGATATCTCTAATCGTTGTTTTACACGACTATTGTCAGAAAGATGTGTAACATTTTAAAGTTGGAATGAGGTTTCTGAGTGAAAGTATGAAGGAGCAGTTAGCAGTTGAAGTTGCTTGAAGATTGTTCAAGTCTGAAGAGTTTCTCCATTGACTTCCATGTTAAAAATGTGATGAATTATGTGATGTATCTCTGGAATTATGAAAGTCATGAATAATAAAAGTAATAGCCATTGATTCCGGACCGAGCTGAACGTTTTGATGTTTGAACAGAGTTTCTGCGATATGGAATGTGGGAGAAGAAGAGGTGCAAAATAACCCGGCGGAGTAATAAAGAATTTCGTGCATAGCATAACAGATAGTTGGAATTCTGTATCAGCATTCCAACTAAAATATATGGAAATAAAACACTAATAGAAAAATAGAATGTCTTTGATAATTCACTATAACTAAGTTCTAAATGTGTCCTCTGTTAAGATTTTGAATTAACACCAGAATTGAATAAATTAACACATGATCTCTGATAGCAGTATGTGAAATTATATCTGTAGCTATATTTTAAACTCTACTTGTATCTTATCAGTTAACTAGAAAATGCATTTCCTGCAGAAAATGTGTGCGAATGCTGTAAACTGTGAACATTTATGGCTGAATTTAGCTGAAAATGCAGAAAAAGCTGAATGTGTTATTAGCTGAATGGTAGCTGCTTTTAGCTACAAAAATGCAGAAANCTAAAAAGGTCAAATATCACTTGTTTTGCATCAATCTTGATACAGGGTACTTATGTGTTGTACTTTGGATTCCTAAAGCTTTAGTCTACTAACCCATCATCCAAGGTTAGTTTTCACTATAAGTACAACATATATTTTGGACGGACACTATCATTTACATTTTTTTACCATGTTCAATCTGAATTTTCTTTATGACAAACGTAGGAAAACATATCGTAGCTTGAAAAATAAAAGAAATTAAGCTAAATAATTTAAATAAAAAACATCTATATTGATTCTGACTTTTCTACATCCAACTCACAGGTTTATCATTACTTTGAGAAAAAAGATTATTAATTATTTAACCCTTTTAGAAGGGAAGATATGGTCATTTGTTCTGGGAATGTCATAATTTCGAGCCTGAAACCTGAAAAACAGGCTTGGGGCTTAAGAGGTTTTAAGAAGAATGATTAAAAAAACTAATTCATTAAAAACACTGAATCAATTATCTGATATTTCCTGCCTGTCTTAGAAAATGTAGGAAACATTAGAGGAGAGTTAACCTTTGACCTACATTAGGGAGGACTCCTCTGGATTACAACACTCCCACCGATCATTGACACACTTCTTATCTCTCTCACCTCTAATCCCAAAGACAGAAATAAAGAAGGACCTTTTTTATAAATTATTCATCATCTTGTTATTTTAATGCAGAGTGAGATCATAACATTATTATCCATATAAAACCATGGGCATAGCTGAGGCTCTTTCTTTACAAGTTCACACTTTCAGAATAAAGTTACAGTAGACGGAGGAAGTGAGTGCCGGGGAACTGTCTGCATATTCACGTATCATCGACGCCATCATCGCACTTTAGACCCAGTCCCCAGATAATCAAAAATGTTTAATCCTACCTCCTAAAAACATGATTTACATTTTGACTGAATGGAAATGGAAGAGGTTAATAATGAGCTTTTAGTAAGAGGACAATGACTAATAATTAAATGAGAATATGTCTTTCGATCAGTAGTTTAAGCTAACATAAACTAGCTGATTTTTTTTTCATGCTACAGTCCAACCTGTCAAGAGCAAAACAAATAAAGAAATATTTTCCAACAATTACAATCATACAGATTTGATCTAAAAAAAGACCCTATAGTGGGTAAAGGCAAACACCTTGACTAACCCTTTCATCAACTGTTGGCATTGAAAATAAACTACGCACTAAGTGCTCTATCTATTCGATTGTTTTATTTATTATCATTAGTCTGTCAATGCCTTTGAAGCACAATCAAATCAGGGCGTGGCACTTCATGCACGTTATGAATTCACGAGTCATGCTGTAGCTCTAATGTGGAGCAAGGGGATATAAACTGGATGATATATGATAGTGTCCTACTTCCATTCCCACAATAGTCTGCGCTTCTACAATGGCTTTGTCAGCGGTGTGTATTCACAAAATCAAAGTTAAACTATACAAAATGCCGTTTAACATATTCTCATTGCACAGTGAAATTAACGGATATTCTCCCTAAATGTCACAACGCTGGAGTGACAATGGACCTGATGCAGGACCCTCATACTACGACGGTAATCACACACACACACATCAGAACATTACAGGGGGAGTGTTGAACATACGAAATCACGAGTTCATGTGTCTCAGAGGAGAGCCCTGGTGATTCTGTATTTTCAACACTCTCCTGAAGGCCTGGCTGTGAGTGACCAATATGTTCCTGTCCCCACACAGAAACCTCACGCAGAGGTTCGATGACATGTTATTCATTTTGCCACCTAAAGAGTTCATTGCGTTCCAGTGAGCACGTTGTCCTGTTGCCACAGAAGCAGAGGTTGAGATGCCATATGGTGCTCACATTCAGTCTTTTTAGTTTCAATTTCAAGCCTTGTTTTCTGGTTCAAATGATCTCCATGTCTTATTATTACAGTTTTATACTTTACGGAATATCCAAGAGGCTTTTATTTCCCATCATTTGGCCGGGAGAAAAAGAGCCAGGAATGAGCAGAGCTACAATGAGGAGGGAGCAGGTAGGCCTACGTGACCTTTTTTAACCTCCATTTATCCTTGGATGACTACGTTTTAACCATAAGATAATAGTGTGATACTTCGAGGTAATATTTGATCTGGAAATAACAGTCCCTTTGTTATTTTGAGGAAGTTATAACCAGCCTCTTATCTTCTGTCAGCTGTGGAGTTAAACGAATAGTAATCCTACAATACTCCCTTGTTAACTCAAACGCTGTGCAAACATAAATCTGTGTTACTGTGGGACTTAAAGACCACTGTGGTATGTAGCTTATCCCTACTGTTACTGTTTTCAGATATGACTGCTATGCAGAGATGATTAAAACCGAATAATGTATTTCCACCTTTTAGTGAAATACACTCAACCATATAAATTACATATATCACACTGAACATGTAAATGATTAGACAGGATTAAAGTGATGGTTTAAATAACAGAACAAGCAAATGGTGATAAAGGAAGCAAAAATGATTAAAAACAATATTCTCTAGGTTTCGGCTATTTCTAATGTCTCGAGTGCAAAGAATTAGTGGACTGGTTTCATCAGAGCAGTGCATTATGGGAGGACAGCAGCGATCAGTTACGAGCCGAACTCCACGGTTTCCTCTGTGATGGGCTTGAACTCGTAGTTCCCTCTGCCGTCCATGTGGAGGTAAAACTTCAGGGCACAGAGGAAAACATAAGAATATCAATCAGTTACAAGAAGTACGACATATTTAAATGTTGAAAAGACTAAAGTGTGTCATGTTTTAACAAGAACAAACAGATACAGCAGCCCCGGAAATGTTGAATTTAAGAGAAAGGAAAGATAAGAATATATTTACAATGACATTTCCACACAAAGTATACAAAAAAACGATAGAAATAGACAAAATATGAAGAAATTATAAACTTAAGACTGCTGTTTTTACAGTTGGATTTTGATTCCCTATTTTATTGTAAAAATTCAAGTTTTTACAATAAAAAAAGTTTTCCCATAACTTCTAAAAGAAATACTATGCACAATATGGAATAAGAAATAGAAAAGATAACCTTTGTAACGCTGACTTTACAGTTTCAGTTTGATACCACTGTATAAATAAACGGTTTGAACAATATAGATTTGCTATATAATTTCATTTTCAAAGTGTGATATATAAAATGACTGACTTCGGGGAGAGAAGAGTAAAGGAGTCTGTGGCGATAAAAAGATTTCATTTTAAGTGGTAAAAACAAATGGAACGCAGCTCTTACCTCGTGGTGCTTCCACAGAGACTTTCTGTGGGACACTGTGAACAAGGTGATGCCCACCTGTGGAGCAAAGGACACACAACTAGTACAGAGATCCACACCTGTTCATTTAGAAACCTTTCACTGCAACATGAATGAGCCACTGGGTGTTGCTCAATGTCGAGGAAGGATGCTCCAGAGCCAATATTTCAAGGATGCTACGTCATCGAGTGCCGCCGAAGGACTGTTCCAATCTCCAGCATACTTGGAATTCCACCGAGGCCGCGCCCTTNTATTTCGTTGCGGGAAATTTTGAGGCTGCACATGTGTAGACTCCGGTCTTAAAATCCCCATAATGCTTTGCGCACGGACCAATTTCCAAAATCTTTGGCAGAAAATGTAAGGCTGGGCCTCTCATGTGACGCACACTGCACACTTGCTAGCCTGTTCCATTCTTCGCGGCTAAAAGGTATTCTTGCCTCGCTTCTGAAGGAACTCACTCGGAGGTACATGTGCTACCAAGCAAGCCTCCTCGACATTGAGAAACACCCACTGCTTTAACAGAGTGGTGCAGGAATGAGGATATCTGTATATTAGCTATCATTTTAGCAGCATTAAAAAAATCAACATCCCTGCATCCCCCACTATACCGAGACATTGTTGTTTCCTAGAGATGTAGAGAGTGAGTGAGTGAGTGAGTGAGTGAGTGAGTGAGTGAGTGAGTGAGTGAGTGAGTGAGTGTGAGTGTGTGTGTGTGTGTGGTGTGTTGTTGGTGCGTACCGTCCTGCAGTGGCTGTAGATAAAGTCCTCCACATCCACACTCACTGCACTGGTGCACTCATCCAGGATGGCAAACTGGGGCTTGTGGTAGAACAGCCTGGCCATCTGCAAACAGAAACACAGTCAATACTGAGGAGGAAGTATAAAACGCTATATATATCTGTTTTATTGTGTTGCACTGTTGGAGGAGCTTGTGACCTAAGACTTTCATTGTCATAACTACACTGTAGCTATGCACACATATAAAAGCCTTGAAACGTTGCATCATTCTCCGTACTGATAGATCAAATAGGCCGTTTGATTCACTCCTTAAAGCTAATGTGTAATTATATATCTCACAGGATGACTATCATAGATTTGTGTGTTGAGCCATGCTTTGTGCTCTCTCCCTTTAACTTACTATGTCATCCTGTACCTTGTCTGTATACAAATATTAAAATTAGTTAAACAAAACAATAAATTCAGCCGCAAACCGACTATGTGTGAGTTTGATCGGCCCTACCACCTGAGCAGGGTGATCAGATAGAAAATAAATGGACGACGGCGTGTTTTCAGTAATTTAAAATCATGTTTCCTTAGATAGTGAGTCCTTACAGCCATCCTCTGCTTCTCCCCTCCACTGAGCACGTCCATCCAGTCCTGCACACAGTCCCAGCTGCCCTCCCGGTCCAGGATGTGGCCCAGCTGCACGTTGTCCAGGTACTCCTTCAGCACCTACACACATGGGTGAGAAGGTGTGTGTTACTATAAGCACACACTGACAGCAGGAGTGAGTGTGTGAAGTGTGTGGGGTCCCACCTGATCAGAGATGCCTTTCCTCTGCTGGTCTTCATACGTGTCAGGATAAATGACCTGGTCCCTCAGAGAGCCCAGAGTCATGTAGGGTCTCTGCAGAAACACAACATGTAGTTTTTTTTATTCAGTCTGAGATGCAAAACTGGAACTAAGAGAGGCACTACTCCTAAACATGCGATATAATTATACCGTTAAACAAAACAAAAGTTTTAAAATTCAATAAGCAATTTATTGTATTTTAGGACTACATTTGTTGTACTATCTTGTTTATAGCAGGGCTATATTGCTATTTAAATATTCTAAAATGACATTGCATATTGTCATTTCCATATATACTGCATGTTGGTAACAATGTAAATATTAGCTAACATGCACATAGAGATAGCGGTACATAAATGTGTTTTTTTATTATTATTTTAAGTGTAATTATAGATTATATCTTTTATAAATTATCTTTATAATATGTTAAATGATGTCAGGGTATATGCAGGAATCCTGAAGTCAAATATGAAACCTTTTAAGACCTTTTTTAAGACCCTTTCCATACATTTTAAGAGCTCATCACCACTTTGAGTTTTAACCGGTTACCTTGGCGACACGCTTTACCTCACATTNCAAGAAGTATTGGAGGAGCTACATTCAGTGTTTTCCCAACAGTGTTCTCTGCTCTTTCTGTAAAAAAGGGTCAACCTGAGCGTGTTTCCTGTTTCCTGTGTCCAGAGGCTCCAGGAGGCGATCAGCAACCCTCAGAGTTCGATACCCCATGACTCTCTGGGTGGGGGGGGCTGCCGTTGACACCAGCTGTCCTCAAGGGGCCCGGGAGCGCGGCGCCGTGTCACGCGCGAGAGGACTACAGGCGGAGGCTTTGCGGAGGAAAGCCAGCCTGCTGAGGGAGCACTGTTACAGAGCCACGCCTGGAGACCTGTCATCAGGGAGCCACGAGGCCGAGCCTGCCGCAGAGCGGGGGTCCAGGACCGCTGAGGAAGCCCACCTGCCCCTGACGTTCACTGAGTGAGCTGACGACGCCCGACACACACGTTTACTATGTTAAAGATCTGTAACGATATCAATCCTCTTTGTCAGCAATGTTCAATGCTCCAGCTTATCTGAGATTTAAAGTGGCGACCTTATCATGCAAAATGCACTAGCTGCCATGGTTCTTTTTTACGCTTATACATATAGATGTGTCGGGTGTCAGGGAACTCACGCAGCGTCAGGAAAAATAAAACCCTCTCTCTTTCCCTCCGCCTACCCAAATCTGTCTAAAAACGGGGGAACAACGGAGCTGATCCAGATTTGCCGCTCCAATAGACGTAATATCTGGAATGTAGGCCGGGGCTTTACGCCCACGGGCAATCAGAAACGTTGTTGCTATCAGAAACAATGCAGATGCTGTTTTTTGGACGGTAATATGGTCTGTGTTTACATTAGGCAGTCGCTAACACCCAGAGCCTACCTGTACTGCGAGAGTTTGGTGTAAAAACTTCTGAGGAAATAAAAAAAGGAAAACTCACCTTTCTGTACTGGTAACTGATTGAGAGGGATAAGGAGTTGAGCTCTCAAACTGCTTTCAGAGTAATAATTCCTTGGACACGTGGTTCATGGAATGTCATGATATTGGTGTTATAATCACGGAGACCCATTAAGCTATGACTCTTAGCAGATGCAGATCTCTTGCCCTCTGCAGGCTCACTGCTGCCTGTGCTGCTCAAAAGGCGGCGTCGGGCCAGCAGCCTACGGACCCAGAATCAGCACTTCTCTAACCGGGCGCTGGAATAGGAGGGATTATGAAGGCCGGACTTGTCTAAGCTGCCATGATCCTGTTCGGTATTTGACGCCAAACGCATCACTACGACATGGTTCTTTATATATTTGTTATATATCTGAGACGCCTTATAGATAATGTCTTAAAAATAGCGATGATAGGAGACATCTTTAATTACCCGCTCAGGTAACGGCCCGTCTGTTGGGCTGATAAAGGAACTGCCGCCGGTCTGACTGCTCACGTCACCCGCTACTAAGGTGGCACGTTGCTTGGACTGCGGGTCGGATGAGCGCCATGTCTCGAGCAGGCAGGAAAGGAGGTCTGGTTGGTGTTCTTCAGAACTCAGCACGGTGCTGGCTTCTCCGGTTGGAGACGCTGGTGCTGCTGGACCGCATCATGTACCTGCAGGAGCAACGGTGAGGACCTGCCTCTAAGGCTGCATGTCTGCTCATAGAGTTCTTTTATGGGAGGAAGCACGACGGTCACATGACTTCACCCACGCTAAGCTAAAGGAGGTCATGTCTGGGCTATAAAAGGAACTACATGACTACAATAACATTTCATACAGTGTCGGTTGGCAGCGCTTTCTGAAAAGTTGTAAATTATGTTTCAATACAGGCGCCTTTATCTATTTGTAGTATGTGCATTTTAATTAACCTGAATCTTCCCTCTTCCTGCAAGGTGTGGAACAGTCGGGCTGGTTCCTCTCTTCGACCCAAACTTTCTCCCAGAAACTTGGTGCTGGTGGCTCTGAAGGCTCGAGGACATGGAGGAGCAAAAAGGAAATCCTAACAAACTGTATACATTTCTCTTTTTGGGAAAAGTCACGCTTACTTTCTGAGAATGCGAACCAAGATTACAAAAAAGTCTAGTTCTCATTTAAACACAAACCCACAAGTCTTACTGTTTTTATATTTTAGTCTCTGTTTTTCCAATTAAACTGGCCCTGTTAGCACATTTTTCAGGTTTCATTTTACTATGTCTCTACTGGGACATTCTCCATGCTTTAATGTTCAAAAAGCTCTTTATTGTTCTCCTACTGCCTGTGCTGCAGCACCTCTTTTCACCCTCTGTCTGAAACCAGAGCCCAGTCTGCTCTGATTGGTTAGCTGGCCGGCTCTGTTGTGATTGCTCAACAGCTTAGAGATGTCCCGCCCCTTAGCCTATCACGTACAATGTGTCGGAGCGCTAGCCAATAGGATTATTCCATAGTGTTTGGGAGAGAAACTCCCTCTGGAGGAAACACAGAGATTTTAGCCTTTGGAGACCATTAACATGCACTAAAACCTATAACACACTACAGGAGAGGGAACACCCCAAAAAGCAGGATAACAAATTGCCTTTATCCTCAGGCGTCCTCACGACTTAAAGCTCGGACTTAATTCTGAAACGAAAACATAAATCTGGTAAGATAAACAAACACACGTTAACAACACAATGTCTTTATTATGGAAATAAAAACCAGAGAGGACTTGACGCCTAGTTCTTTTTTTTTGCATTGCAACATTTTTACACAGAATTTCTCAATGTTATTGGTGTTGAAATACTTTCCATGCAGAAATGTGATGTGCCAGCCTTTGTGCAACTCTTTATTGCCCCCCAGGTTCAGAAAGCACTCGATCACAACCAGATGTTCTCCAGAACGCTGCTCTGAGACCAGTTTAGCTTTCATTACGTGTGGGGCATCTCATTGATTTGTGACCTCAACAGGGGTCCAGCGCAGAGACTCCATTCGTGGACTCCTACTCCACCCCCTGAGCAGAGAAGAAGAAACGACTAAACCTCAGAAGTCTTTGTGAAGCAGCGCACAGTTGTGAGAGCTTTCATAGAGCCATGGAGTGTTTGTTTTTAGTGTTTTTGGGTTCGCTGCTGGTTCCTCTGCGGGCACTGAGCAGGTCAAACTGCAAGCCCATGACCTCCACCTTTTGTCAGGGTTTAGGGTACTCCACCACCCAACATCCGACAGGAGTGACGGGGTACACCCTGAGGGAGATCGGTCAGATCGTGGAGACTTCGTGCTCTCCGAACGTGGCCGTGCTCATGTGCCGGGTCGTGGTGCCGGAGTGCGGCTCGGAGGAGGACGCTCGGATGAAGCCGTGCCGAGCGCTGTGTGAGAAGGTGAGGACGGACTGCGAAGCTCCGCTGAAAGCCAAAAGGATCAGCTGGCCGTCGAGGCTCCGCTGCGACACTCTGCCCGAGAACAACTGCGCGCAGGTCAGTGTGAAAACATTCTTCTGTTTGCATCTTATATCATATTCCATGTACCAGACTCTTCTTGCACTATTTCTATTCTATTGTATCTGTTTTATTTGTTCTATGTCCTATATATTCATGTTGCGCTGCTGGAGGAGCCTGTGACCTAAGATTTCCATTGACATGTCTACACTGTAGCTAATGTGCATATGACAATGAAGTGGTTTTATGGACAGCGCTGATTTGTTCTGTTCCTGTAGGGTCAGGTCTCCAGCCCCGCTCAAACATCGTCGGCTACATGTGAGGAGATCAGCGTGGCTCTGTGCCGGGACCAGACGTACACCGAGACTGTCCTGCCGAACATCCTGGGCCACGCCTCTCAGGAGGAGGCCGGCCTGGAGATAAACAAGTATTCCCCTCTCATCCAAGTGGGCTGCTCCGCTCACCTGAAGCCTTTCCTGTGCTCCGTCTACACTCCGAAGTGTGTGTCTGGCGCTCGTCGGCCTCCCTGCAGGACGCTCTGCGAGAAGGCCAGGTCGGGCTGTGAGTCCCTGATGAACAAATACGACATCTATTGGCCAGAAGCCCTGCGATGTGAAGCCTTCACCACTGAGAGCTGTGAGAACGTAAGTCTCCTCTTCCTCGTTTTCTACTTTCAGGTTCATATCAGTATGTAGTGTCTCTACTTTAAAGAGTCCTCTCCTGCTGATGTTCAGGTGTATATCAGTATGTAGTGTCTCTACTTTAAAGAGTCCTCTCCTGCTGATGTTCAGGTGTATATCAGTATGTAGTGTCTCTACTTTAAAGAGTCCTCTCCTGCTGATGTTCAGGTGTATATCAGTATGTAGTGTCTCTACTTTAAAGAGTCCTCTCCTGCTGATGTTCAGGTGTATATCAGTGTGTAGTGTCTCTACTTTAAAGAGTCCTCTCCTGCTGGTTTTTTCGAGGTCGGCCCTCCTACTCGCTTTTTACACTGATCTTCTCCGTCAGGTATGTCTCGATTATAATTGTAATTTGGGTAAGACCGGCACACTGTGTTTGGATGTTAGGTGTTACGTATTCGGACGACTGTTCTTCGTTTTTGCTTCGCGGAAACCGTGGACTTCTTACATAAAGTTCGTGGTCGGTGTTCACTGAAGAAGAAAAAAATTCTTCTCCCGGTTTTTTTAACTTTTTCGGGTGGCTGTACAAAAGGCAAACACTGCAACAAAAAAATAGAGATTGTTCACTTAACGCCAATACACGACGAAAACAGGCTAAAAACTTTTCACGTTTTTTTTTGTCCCTTTTTTTCAAAAAAGAAGAAATCAAAGCACGAAAACTACGAAAAACTTTTTTAGAAAAAGAGCAGCGTTCGTCTTTTTTTTGTTTTTTTTTTTTCTTTTTTTCTTTTTTTTTTTTTTTTTTTTTTTTCTTTTTTTTTTTTTTTTTTTTTTTTTTTTTTTTTTTTTTTTTGTTTTTTTTTTTTTTTTTCCCGCTCCGGAAGGAAAGGGAGACCACCTTGTGGGCGACAAACAAAGTTGTGGCATCCGGGGCCGAAGTGGCACCCGAAGAGCAACATTTGCGTCGATATGTTATGCGGGACCGAAGGTTTTGATCTTGCATTTGGACACGATTGAACAAGATATTGTGAGTGACAACTTCTTTATGTCAGCAGGAAAGGGTCGGCGAAAATGGATTCATTTTTACTTGTGCGAGCATCCTCAAAACAAGTTTTTGCATCTCTTTGAAGTGTAAGAAATCCCCACTCGTTGCGGCGAATACGTTTAGGTTTAAGTCAGTCGCGAAAGGTGACTTTTGCAGGAGGGAGAGCGCTCGATTGGTACAAGTTGGAATGAGCGAGTAGGGAGGTTTCGAGCCGGCGAGTAAACGGGGATTACCAAAAACTCATTATTTTATACAACACGGCCTATCCAAAAATCAGGCAGTCTACTTTGTGGATCGAAGAGATTGACAAAGCATTTAGACGGCCACTTTTCTACTTACTTTTCACACAAACACCGAACGTAAAATGAAAACAATAAATCGGTGCAGCTGTAGTTCTCCTTTCAAGACCTCCTTGCTGCCGGACATTAGTTGTTTTGGGTTTTTTCGGAGAAGAAGACATTTGACTCCGGACGGAGCGGTAGTTGCGACACAAAACAACGAGTACAAAAACTGCAACATTATCCTGGGTTTGTGGAATTTCATTGTTGAAAATTGGGGTAGGCAGGACATTATCCGGAGCGACGCAAAACGTGCGTGTTGCTTCCGTGCAAACAATTAGACAAAAAAAGACTGTAAAAAAGTGGCCTCGTTTTTCAGGAGGCAGAGCGCACCACCTCGCTTCGCAAACCCACATTCGGGAGGGATCCAAAAACATCATCTCCGTCCTTCTAAATTTATCTTTCAAATCGATTCAACGACCCACAAAAATTGGAAGTGTGTACACGTCCTTTTTACCCGTTACTGTCACGTCGCGAGCAGGAGTTCACAGTTCCGTGCACCTCCCACTCACCTTCCTTTTCTGGACTTTTCAGTGGTGAAGTTTGAGGTCCCCGTTCCTTTTCCATCTCTTCTGTGAAGATCCAGTCACCCAACATTCTATACACACTACCTCCGGTTCGCGCTTAATAGTTAATCAGAATAAATGTCTTAACTGTCTCCGCCGCTCCAGATGTTACACTTTACTCCAAAACTTTTAGGCCGCAGTTTCCTTCTCGTGCGTCTGACCGAAACGGTAGGAATAGCTAATACATCGTTTACAATTACCACATGAGGTAACACGGTTGACGACAGTCATGTTGCAGTAGTTGTAAAATTGTTTTTGACAGCTACCAAGAAAACAAAATTTAAAATAACAAAAAAATGCCACGACTGTATTAATTACACTATACTCTTTTTCATAGTATTTTCTAAATTCCGAAATAATCATTAAACAAAAAAATCGTCCAAATTTATGTGTCTTTCTTTGTCAGACGATGAGACATTTCTTAAAATGACAAACAAACCTTTTATCTTCTTCATAAAAATAAAAAACTTCAAAAAACCAAAAGTGCAATTGGGTACGACTTCGAACGGTAACGTTGAAGTCTTTACAGAATGATGATTAAACATAAGCAATTTTGGAGGAGAACAAAACTTAATCCGAAAAGTAAACAAAACAAAAAAAAAAGATCAACTCTAACTGCCAAAAAGTTCCGTTCAATGAAATTACAGAGGATATAGATCGACATGATCTCTAGAGACTTCTCCCCATATTGTTATGTCTTGTTTGCTGACTGTACTAAGCACCCGCTCTCTCTCTCTCGCGCTCTCATTATACATGTGGTTGTCACAAGAGCGACTAGTAGTCATTTAGATTGGGACTACAGACATAAACAAAAGGTACCTAACCCAAGAGCGAGTACGAACCGTGACTTGTGTTCCGTTTGGTCAGTGTAAGATGATGAGATAAGAACACCGGTTGTATCTATTTCTTTTTGTCGTCGGTTGAGTGAGAAGGGACAAAGCGTAGTGCTCTGCTCAGTCTCATTGAAATCGAGTTAAGGTTTTGTCTCTTATGCAGAACAACTTGTGATCGTTAAAAGGTGGTATTGCTTATTATGTCCAGTCTCTAGAAGAAGTAAAGAAAATCGAAGGGTGACTCTGTTGATACCATATATGGTTCGCCTGTCCAGTTGCTCGTTTCTCTCTCTCGCTCTCTCCGTCCGAGACACGCTTATAGACGCCTAGAAGATACGTCTTTCTTAAATTAACACTTCACTGTCTGTGTCTGTACGTTTGTCTACAATAGTCGTTCATCTTTGGCACTAGAGATTCCTAATACCTACGATACAGAATATACGAGTTTCCACAGACCAAAACTCTTCCTCTTCTGCTCAAAGTGGAAAAGATGACATAATACTCAGCGAGCAAATATAGTGGGCCAATTTTGTGCTTTCGATTAATAAAAACACGTTGACATTTTTGTATCGCCATCGTAGACTTATTCCAAGATATCAAGAAGTGGAGTAGGACGCGTACAGGTGGACTCGTTAGGTGTTAGTATATTGTAGATTAGTGAAGATATCTCCAGATCAACGGGGCGATAGATCTCATCGTGTCGTATATACAACACGCACACTGCTATCCACCAGCTGTATTAGCCACATCACGCCTTCCTCGTTGAAACGCCCTGTAAAGGAGATTCAGCACAAAAAATGATGAACTTAGGTTAAGTTAGTGTTCGTGCAGAGCGCCTGTCTCTAATCGTTTAATTGTATTGGTTAGTTTCGTGCTAAGATCGCCCGAGCCTCTCTAAACTAATGATCTGTCTCCCACTCGTTTTCTGTGCTCAACGTCGCCGTCGGTCTCCGTCCTATACTCATTAGAGTTATTTTTCTCGTTTAACATTCCGGCTCTTGTAAAATCTCTCGTAGACGCACTCTTGGTCTTTCGACTGTGACTTTCCGATAAAAAAGAATATGCTATGATGCAGGTGGTTGCGCAAATTTTTGTAAGTCGTCCTCTCTCGTGAGACAATTTGCATTGTCCTCCCTTGTCTGATGTCAGTTCGAAGAGCGCTATATAGGGTGTGGGACATACTGTAGACGGCGTTCGGTCCGTCTCCTGTACAGAAATTCATCTTACATCTAGTGATGTTACTAGAACCTCATCTAACTCCGCCGTAAGAAGAACACTTAGTACGTCGATACCACTCTTACTTGGCGAACCATTTCATCTCTGTGGGATCTCCTAGAACTATCAGCTCATTGTGATGTAAGTTAAAGTGGTACTACATGTGGACTTGTAGTCGTCCTCTGCTATGAGAAATTTCATCTCTGTGGATGTATGTGCACTATATGTGGACTTGTAGTCGTCCTCTCTCCTGACGCAATTTCATCTCTGTGGATGTATGGACTATATGTGGACTTGTAGTAGTCCTCTCCTGAGAAATTTCTTCATCTTTGTGATGTATGACTATATGTCAG